ATGGACAGTAATCTATGACCAAGGGCCTAGGGCTTGGTGTTGCTGTCATAAAATGCTGCTCCACTGCCCTGAGGAAGTAGGAACGAGATGTTGCTCAGCAGTTGTTAGACCAAAGCAGTTGCAATTCAAGAATTTAAAAGTAAATAAAACGTTGTATATAAGTACCTATAGGCACAAGTTTTCCTCTAGACTCCCCCTATTTTTTGTATTTTAAACCCCAATCTCAGGATTTTAGTGTATGCTAGAGAATAACAATCAGATGCCAGTGTTGTCCATACGTTTCTAGTATGATAGTCCTTCATTCCTGGAAATTACTCAGTCCATGGGGGTGGGGGTGAGAAGATTCACCAGAGAGAGTGGGGAGCAGAACAGGAAGATCTACTGAAATACACTGCTGAGGGAGCAGCAGGCAAGGCAGAAGAGGTCTGCTGTACAATGTGCGTAGCTCCCTGGCCAGCCGGGGATCGAAGTCATGCTTCAGTGGCTGGCGATAGTTCGATAATGCTGTATTTAACACCCTGCGCCACCAGGGAGGTCCAGTTTAACTTTTCTAAAAACAAGTTTTCTCCAACTTGACCCAATTTTATACAATAGTACAGCAAAATATTTGCAAACTAAATCTACTCTCAGACCAATTTACTTATTTTTGCATAAAATCACAAGGCAGAGTAACCAAACAGCAATTCTAGCTAACTTTGCTGGAAAACTCCATATAATATCAGAGTGAACTCTTGACATCTAGTCCGTGTAGGCTTCAGAAACAAAGTTGGTTTCCACCTGGAGTTTCCTATTCTCCAGGTTACCAGAACTTTTTTTTTCCCCAGTTGTTGAGTCCTGCCAATGGAGGCAAGCTTCCTCACCCTCTTTGGATGTCTCTGGAACCCTAAAAACAAAGCAGCAGGTTCTTTTTTCTTGCTTCAGGTCAAATGCAACTTTCACAAAGAATTCCCATCGAAACCACAAAATGAAACATGTCCATAAGAGCTGGGGTACAGGCCAGAAGCTCAAGGGGTGAGAGGATTCACCAGAGACAGAGTGGGGAACAGAACAGGCAGACTGATGAAATAATACATTGCTGAGGGGAGCAGCAGAGAGACAGGAGAGGTCTCCTAAACCATATGGGAAGCTCCCTGGCCAGAGATCGAACTTGTGATGCATGACAGCGGATAGCTTCATAGGTTGTGTCTTATGCCCTTGCGCCACGAGGGAGTCCTGCATCTAATATTAACAAGAAGGTGTGACTTTATGTGTTTCTTTACAAGGGAACAAAATTTTCTGAAAGATCTCTAGAGTTTTAGAAGATTCTTTCTAAACCTTTTGTTTAGAAACTTTACCACATTCATCTATATCTCTTGTCTTTGTTTATCAATTGACCCACAATCGATCGATTGATTGATCTATACATCCATCCCTCTATCATCAATCAGTCATCTATCTAGTGTTTTCTCTTTGCTTTTTGTTTTCTTCTGTACATGCACAGCAGTTTTTATGTTGAATTTCCATTGGTTATGCTCACTAATTACAATTTCATTTTATGTCTGTAATTAATTTGTATTTTTGTCCTCAAAACTATGAGATTTTTCTCAAACAGATTTTCAATGTCTGTCATTCATCTGTATGTTTTAATTCTGTTGTTTTCTCCTCCTGATCATGTTTGTAAATTGTATAGTAGCATCACATCTTAATTTCATTCATACATAATCTTTTCATCACTTTTTTTTTCAGAAGAGATGGACAGACTCTTTTTTTTTATAAAGATTTATTCATTTATTTATACAAGCACTGGGTACAGTCAGAAGCGCAGGAGGTTGACCAGAGCCAGAGCGGGGAGCAGAGCAGGCAGAAGGACCGAAGTACACTGCTGAGGGGAGCAGCGGGCGGCAGGAGAGGTCTGCGCGCCATGTGGGACCCTCACCGGTGGCCGGGGGTTGAACCGGTGCTGCAGAGGCGGCGGGCAGTTTCGCAGCCCAGCGCTCAACCGCTGCACCACTGGGAGGCCCTAATTCATTTCTTGATCAATATTTGTGCTCAAATTTGATGAGGGTTCAACTCCAGAATTATGTTCTAGAACATCTTTGTATGTCAGTCCCATTGTCTCTGACCTGTGCACACTGGCAATCAATGCTTTGGAAGAAGGATATACTGGACAATTTTCAAGAACGCCTAGGGGTCCTTAATAACAGCAGCTGATAGGGACTATGTCCACAAAGCCTGCGGACGCTTAGCAGTCCTCAGTCTTGAATTCCCCCAAGTTCTAATATCCTTTTAGAGCACACTGAGGGGTGGAAATCAGACAAGGGCTATTTGAGACTGCCTTGGGTCTGGTGAATCACTCGGGACCCCATCATCAAGGACCAGCAGGAACAGTAGCTAATGAGATTATTGGTGGGAACAAGACCTGTGACCCAGTCTTTCTAGGTCTTCTGAGGCTGCTCACCTGGTATGTGGGAGTTCACAGGGGAGCCTGGAGAAGTCGGTCAATCTTTGGTGTGCTGGGCTAAGGAATCTGGACTTGACATTTAGGTTTCCTCAGGAACCAAAGAGTATCTGGGAAGAGCAGCTGTGAATCAGTCTGGCTCTGAAGTGCTAGAACTACATGCATTAGAGAAGAAGCAGTGGGAGGGAAGGGATGAGAAAAGAGGATCGCTGGAGGTGATGGGAGGCAGCATGGGCGCTAGAGGGAAGGAGCTAACCTGGAGTCCATGCCAAGGGTAAATAGATAAGGGGGAGACATATGAAAGGCACATCTAAAACATGGAAGGTTCTGGAGATTCAAGCATTACATGAGATATCTGGAATATGGTTCCTCTCTGGCTGACAGGCCTTTATCTGTGTTCTGAGAACAGCTTGCATGAGGGGGATGGCACATGAGAAGGAATGAGGGAGGAATTCTTACAGGAACTTTCAAAAGTCTGGCTGATTCACTTCTAGAGCTCATCAAAGCTATCAAGCTGTTGGCGTTTGCTAGAAGAATTTTAACACCAACCATATATGGAGTGCCACATCCTCCCTTTTTGTTGCTTTCCAGTTGTGATTTTCCCAAACCTGCAGTCTTCAAGTATTCGTTGCCTGCCACAACACCCTTTCTGTCAGTCCCCTAACCCAGGCCCCTGTACATACTTTCCCCTCAGGCATCAGTCATGAAGGCTCTTCTGTGTAGGCAGCCTCTTATCTCCTCTCAGCTCTCAGATGCCCTGCCTCCAGGCCTCACTCGGCACCAGAGCATTTCTTTTTCTTTTAGTAGTCCCCATAGCTCTGCCACTGCCACATCACCAGTGAACCATCACTGTGTTTTCCTCTTCTGTCTTGCCTCCCTCACTCTCCTTCCTTTGCTGTGGACCTCAGCTCTGTGGTCAGTTTGCTAGTTTTATCTTTTTCTTGATTTTTTTTTTTTTTTGGTTTCTCTATATTCCACATATCAGTGAGACCATCCGGTATTTATCTTCTTCCTTCTGACTTACATCGGCTAGTGTAGCCTTCCAGCTCCATCCTTGTTACCGCAGATGGCGTGAGTTTGTCTTTCTTGATCCCTAAGTAACATTTCATCGTGTGCCACTGCACCAGAGCATTTATGAAGAACATCCCTGGGAAAAACCCAGCAGGAGTGGACCTGCCTCCACTGAGTCAGTCTTTGGTCTCAGCTGTCCTGAGCCTCCCTGCTCTGTCCTCAGACCTCTCCTGGGTCTTCTCTCTCATCAGCTGGCCTGTGACCTCCAAGTGTGTCCCCCACCTGTTTACAATGACTTCTTGCTTTCGTTCATTGGAACTGAGACCTCTGACATGGGCCTCCGGACCTGTTTTTCCGGACATTTCTGTACATTGGTATCCTCCTCTTTGCATGAGGAAGTGAAGGCAGCCCTCTTTATTCTATCGCTTGGTCTCATCCTTCCCAGCCTGCTCTGTGGCTGCTGCACCACTCAGGCTGTCTCTTGATATCGTCAGGGCATTAGGGGAGACTTCAAAAAGTGGGGAGTCCCTGTGCTCCCCTGAAGAGGGAAAGTTGTACTTCCCAGAGACGGGAGTTCTTGCACTTCCCAAAGAAGATCTGAACTAGGGAGTCTCCATGGCAAAGCCTGCTGAAGCTCTCCTCTTTGTTCCTAGTTAATGCTGAAGTAAGTTAGTTATTCATTGGCCTGTGAAAATCTATTTCGGACCCAGGTGACAATTGGCTTATTGTTCTTTCGCATGAACAGTCACAAAGGAAGTAAAAATTGTTAAAGATATAGTTAGGAAAGAAATGTTTTGGCCCCGAGAACTATGGAGAACAAGCTGCCCTCAATCAGCTGTGCTTGGAAACCATAGCCTAACCCTGGTGGTACCTGTTTGCAGCAACAGTACATCTCCTGGTGTATGCGAAAAGTTAACAGTGTGCAGGTTGTGTGGAGGTTCGGTATTTCTAGTTGAAAGTTAGATTTCTGTAGAACTAAACAGTATTGATGAGTTACTTTAGATCACTTTGAAGTAATTGATAATGGGCTAGAGGAATTGAGTACTAGGGAATGGGTTGATTTTAGTAATATAGCATAACAATGGACTTTCATGTCCACTCGGAAATTAGGAAGGCTTGACAGGGTGATTGACTGTTACTGAACATTGTACTGTCTTAGACAATGGATTACATTAGAAAAAGAGTTGTACCTAAGGGAGTCTTTGTCCCTGTAGATTTTCTTAATCAGATTAAGGAAGTGTCCTTTTGTAGTATGAGATCAAGAGGGTCTTTTTATTTTCATGAGAAAATATGTAATGATTGTCTCTGTTCTGCTTTGATGCTTATACTGATATCATCTCACCACTGGCCTTAAGGTATAAAAAAAGACCTGCTGAGGCCCTCAGGAGGAGATACTTGCACGAGAGACGGTGTCTGTGTCTTCCTCACTCCTACCTGGCTCCACTTCCCCTCAGCCTTCCGAAAAATTTCATCAAGGCGGTCCTCTCCTGCTGCGATCCCTGACACGACATCTAGTTGGAATTGGTCTCCAACCTGTTCAGTTTCCCCACCTTGAACACTCCCTGTTCACTGAACTCAGCCCTTTATCCTTCAATTAGACGGGAGTATGGAATCAGGGAAGAGGTAAAATGCATCTTGATTTTCCCTAATTCTAACTGAAATTTGGCATTTTATTTAATGGTGGCATCAAATTACAGTTGTAGTAGCAATGTCTGTGATTGTCCTGCCAGCAGAACCACATGTATTTTCAGCTCTCATGATTGGTTTTGCTTTTACAGTTGACTGGCCTGGATTCTCTTCTTACCCCATTGGCTTGGCCCAGCCCCTCTCAGCGCCTGAGGTGGTTTTGGGATCCCTGGCTTCCCACTATCAGGAAGGTGGTGATTTTGTTCTGGGCACTAGGTGGCGCCAGAGATCTTTCCTAGTGTCCTTCCAGAACTTCGGGTTTTTTCCGTGGGCCTCGGGGGAATAGAGTGGGGGTGATGGGGTTTTTGGAGTGCGAGGTCCTGGGGTTCACTCTGGGAAATGTTTCCCCAGACCCTGTTTCAGCCGCACCTGGAGATGTTAGTTCTGTTTAAAGGGCTGGTTTCTCAGTAAAAGGGAAAGGGACAGGTTTGCTGAGAGAGGCCTGCACAGTTGCAGGCGGGCGGCCTTGAGGAGAGTGGCCTCCACTGAGGGAGATCAGTGGAGACGTTCTGGCAGGTACAGGCCACCAGCAGGAGGCTGCTGCCCCACAGAGGCGAGAGCTGGTGAGAAGAGGCTCCTGTGTGGTCACGGGCGGGCAGGGGGACGGTTGCCCCGGGCCTGTGCGGAGCCTGCCCTGCCATAGTCCCTTTCTCCTTGGGAGGCTCACTCCTCTGTGGAGCGGCTGCTTGTTGTGGATGTTTGGCAACAGGCAGCGCTAGAAAGGGACCAGGGATTCCAGGGTAAGCCCTGTCTCCACATCCTTCCTCTCAGGCCTGTGCCCCACTCCCTAGAGCATCGGATCCTGCTCGCCTCTCCTGCCTCGTGACAAGGTGCTGGCGCCTGAGGGTCCGTCCTCCACAGCTGGGTTAAGGGTCATGTGCATTTCCTCTACCCCCACCTCCTTGTCTCAGTCAGGTTTTGGCCTTGGGGCACGTCCTTTCCAGTCTTTCCATTCTTGTCCTCCATCATCCCCCCCATGACCATATCCAGCCCAAAATCTTTTGGGGAGTTGAAGGGAGGAGGTCTATTTTCCGTAGCTGCTTCCAGCTGGAGTGGCATGTAGAGCTGGCTCTACCTCCAAGGGCCCGGGAGATGGTCTCCCTGACACGAGTCCCTGAGCTGTCTGTTGGTGGTTCTGGAAGGAGGTGAGGGGGGGCATCTGGAGTGCAAGGGTGGGGCATCTGGACAGGCTGTTCCTCTTGTACGGGTGAGCTGTTTGTTGGGAAGAGGAGTTTAAACTTGAGGCGCTCCCCCTAGGTTAGAAGAAACAAATTTGAGTAGGAGATTGTGTATGTTAAGATTTAAAGAGGAGAATGAGAAGTACAGCAGCGGCTAAGGGCCCTCGGTCACAGGTGAAGTTGTAATGAGGGTCCCCAGGAAAGGGGGAGGTTCCAGGTTCCCTGCCCCACCCAAGGGAGAGAGGAGCTGAGCAGGGAGAGAAGAAGCTGCAGAAGAGAGTGAGGAAGGAAGGAAGCAGGATGGCAGAGCCTGTTTAGAGCAGGCAGGTTTGCGGGGTCTGGGCTGCTCCTCTCCCTGCCCTGTAGCAAAGTCATTGGGGACAGCCGCTGAGTGGTAGGCTTAGTAACAAGAGGAGCAGTAGTAAAATAGCTAGCAAGTTTTGGGGTTGTGGCATGAGAGTATATTTCACCAGGGAAGCGACCCATTTTTAGAGTGCTGTTATACTAAAAAGAATGTTGGTGGTATATTTGTTCCTAGCAGAGGAGCTGTTCTAAATCCCGTGTGTCCCTAGTTAGGGCAACACCCACCCGGGGAGCCCTGAAATGCTGGAGTAAGGCACATTGCCAGGAACTCTGCAGGAGGGTTGGCTTGCTGTGTGTGCAGAGTTGCAAGGCCAGTGAAAACTACTAGTTTCTTAGTTTAGTTAGGGACAGTGTTGTGAGCATGATCACTGGGAGGCTAGTCAGACTCTCAGGAAAGTTGGGTGAGATTTAAAGTCAAGTTAGAGTGAGGACCGCAGTCCACCTTTTTATTTATTTATTTATCTATTTGTTTATTCTTTAAAGATTTATTTATTTTTATACAAGAACTGGGGTACAGGCCAGATGCTTGGGAGGGTGAGAGGATTCACCTGAGACAGAGCGGGGAGCAGAACAGGCAGACTGACTGAAATACACTGCTGAGGGGAGCATCGGGGAGACAGGAGAGGTCTGCTGTATACCTGGGTATCTCCCTGGCCAAGGATCCAACCTGCGCTGCAGTGGCGGTGGACAGCCCCATAGGCTGCGTCCCAACCCCTTGCCCCACCAGGGAGGCGCCATAAAATGATTTTTTAAATATTTATTTATGCATACAAGAGCTGAGGTACAGGGCAGAGATGCAGGGGGTGAGAGGATCCACCAGAGAGAGTGGGGAACAGAACAGCAGATTGACTGAAATACACTGCTGAGGGGAGCAGCGGACGAGACAGGAGAGGTCTGCTGCACCATGTGGGTTTCTCCCTGACTTGCGGGGATTGAACCCGTGCTGCAGAGGCTGCGGATTACTTCATGGTGCGGCCCTCAACCGCCTGCGCCACCAGGGAGGCCCCATAAAAAGATTTTTAAAGACTTTTTCCGACGTTGGCCTTGGTCCCATCCTTCTCGCTGTTTCCAAGATCTGTGGCTCAAAAACAGTTTCCATCAGAGCCCTGGGGGCAGGAAGGGGTGCCCTGAAATTTCAGTCTGCCCTTTGAGCCCCACTGCCCGGTGACGCTTCGCTGAGGGCACGCTGCAGTTCACCCACCTTGCATGCAGCAGCCAGGCAACCGGGGCAAACCTTCGTTCAGTGGGGAGGAGCAATGGGTCTTCAGAGCTGTTCGGTAACTTCCGCTAACTGGAAAAATGTCAATCCTTCGCTCTCATTGTTTAAACAGCTTCTCTCTGTCTTGGCCAGAAGATGGCGCGGGGGCTCCAAGTGCTGCTCCCAGCGGCGTTAGAAGAAAATCCTGTGGGAGAGAAATGGATGGGTAAGTGCAGATGAGCCTCCACCCAACCCTGTGATGCGCACAAACCGGGAAGGAATTTCGAATAGTGGGGGGCGTCAGGTGTCCCGTCCCCACACACATCTCTTCTCCAGGGAGAGACGAGCAGACTCCGGGTGGGTCCTTGGACCACAGTGGGTGCCACCCTTGGGGCAGGGCAGGCTCTGGGGGGACAGCAACCGGGGAAGGTCGGGGGCTCCAGCTCTGGGCAGGGGAGACTGACCTGCAGACCCCTGTGAGCTCCCCTCTCCCTGGGGCAGCCCCGGGCAGGGGAGATTCAGCTCCTGCTTTCAGGGGTGTGAGAGTCGGACTTCTTGACCCAGCTTTTTCTCAAGGGCCTGTCCTGCACTGAATCTAGGGCCACAGCAGCATGTGGGGGGGTTATTCTGCTCCCTTGCACGTGGAGGGGTGCACGGAGGTGCCACCGGCTGGGGTCTCCCCTTCCGCTTTCCCGTGGACATCCCTGGCCAGCTGGAGACTCCCGTGCAGAAGCCGCCCTCTTGGGCAGGTGTTTGCCCCAGGGATGTCCCCACAGTGGGTCTGGGGATCACTGCAGCATGGACAGGAATGAAAGAGGCCAGGGGGGGGGACAGAGACCCCTCGTGGCTCAGGCCCCTTGTTGGGGCAGGTGCGTTCCAGGACAGACATGCGAGATGGCGGAGACCCCGACAGCAAGTCCCCGAAAATTCAGGAGCCTGAGGGCAGGTCAGGTGTGTCCGCTTCCCCCACAGCCCCTGGAGGGGGACTTGCAGAGAGGACGCCGCAGGCAGTGCCCAAAGCTGGGGTCATCACTGTGGGGGTCATGGGACTGACCCTGCAGGCCCGGGAGGCTTTGGTTCCTTGGAAACTGTTTAACCCTGTCCTTTCTCCTCTCCCTTGCACCCCAACCATGTTGTTTTCCACAGCAGGGCTTTCACGTGAGGGGGTGTTTGCTCCGCACGCAACAGATGGCAGTGCCAGTGGAGGGTGCGCAGGGTCTGGGGTCTCAGGGTGCCTCTGGGTCTGCCCCAACACTGCCACCTGCTGCTGCAGCGCGTCTTCCCTTTCCTTGTCTCCCTCGGCTTTCCCTCCTCTCGCTCCTGGGGTAATGCCTTTAAGGTCCCTTTTCTCTCTGCTCATTGGGGGGCCTCGCCCTGGATTCCCCAGCACATGCTGAGGACTCCCCACCTGGGTCAACCCTTCCCTTCGGGTTTGTCCTGAAGCACCTCCCGTCTCCCCTTCTGTATACTCCTCTGGGTCTGCGCCGGGATCCTGGGAGGAAACGTCATCTCATCTACCCTGCAGTTCTTCATGGAGACCTTCCTGGAATAAAGGACATCAGTGGGAGAAAATACACTTGAGTACACGTGGACACCTCCTTGCTCACCTGGGGAAGACCCAGGAACACTGAGTGACCCACCAACATGGTCTCTGCCCCCTGTGCAATGACATCTTCAACCCCAGAGAAAGGACAGAGGATGGGGGTCAGCCCTGGGGGGCAGTGGGAAGCCCAGCTACAAGGGTGCGAGTGGTGCGGTCCTAAGGGGCCGCCTCTCCCTCTGATAAGGGATGGAGAGATTTGGACAAATCTTTCCAACGTGAGAACCTGGACGCCTCCTCACGGGGATGTTCTCTTATTCGTGGAAATGAGTCTCACAAAAGGTCAACCTCCACCCGCCTGTCGGAGCCCCTCCGTCTGACTCCCAGGAGCGCCCAGTAAATGTAATCCTCCTGTAACAGAAGTGCCGGTAGAGCCGCGAGTGTCCTCCCCAGGGTCCACACAGGCTCACACCCCTGCATCCGATTAATGCACGTGCTGGGGCAGCTCAGCCTCTTGGTAATTACCAGATGGAAATTTACCTATCAACTCCCCCTGTCTTTTTCGTCCTCCATGATACTCACCTGGTGACGAGGGGAGGCCGTTGGCCCCTCACCTTCCTGTGCTGGGCCTGTCCGCTCCAGTCCTACTGTGTGGCTCAGCCTACTGCCCAGTGAGTATATTTCCCCCAAATACCTAACTCCCCTTCAAGCTTGATTTATTTAAAAGATTCGTTTTTGTTTATGTATGAATATAAGAGGTGGGTACAGGCCAGAGGTGTGGGGGTGAGAGGACTCATCAGAGACAGAGTGGGAAGCAGAAAAGGCAGATCTGAGCTGCTTCACTCCTTGCACCACCAGGGAGACCCCACATATCCTTCTATTCTGGTGAATTCAGCTCACATGTCCCACAGTTCATAAAAGCTGACTGACTTCAGTTCCAGAATACTTTCACTGACTCTCCTGCCTTCCTGCTGGGGACTCTGCCTGGCAGCGTGCTCTCTGCAGGTCAGTTATCATGGCGAGTGTTTTATATTTTCTCACTCTATGACATCTGCTGTTGTCTCATCCTCATGACAGTGTGATTTACAAGGAAGAGCTAAACGTTTGGGTCTTCAGTGACGTGTAACCCAACACTACAAAGTGTTGCTTTTTCTTCTTTTTTACCGTGTCTGCATTCAGCAGGCTTTTCACACCGCTACGTAGCACGTTATTCCACGTATGTGTTATTCTACCTGCCAACCAGGTGATAAGCTCTTCAAGGAGAAGATTTTATTCATCCTTGTATTCATAGACTCAAAGACACTTCCAAATTTGTATGGTAAACTATTGTAGTTCTTTTAGGAGCAAATGGGTTAATCTAGAGGTAAGACTATTTCCCCTGAGAATTCTGTTCACAAAACAGTGTAGAGTAGGAAAATGGTGCCTCCTGTACAAGAGCACAAGAAGGAGTGTTTACACTGTTGCTGTGTGACCCAGGCTGACGGCCCTGATATGAGGAGAAATGTTCCCTCACAGGAAATGGTGTCATTGAAGGACGTGGCTGTGAACTTCCCCTGGCAGGAATGGGAAGACCTGAATGATGCTCAGAGGACCCTGTACCGGTATGTGATGCTGGAGACCTGCAGTCACCTGGTGTCCCTCTGTGAGGAAGCTCCAGTGTAACACGAGTGCAAGTGCTGTTTTCTACACTGATTAAGTGTGGTCTTTCTTGTGAAATTGGGTGGTGGTGAGGTTGAACATGGCAAACAGACTAGATTGTGGGTGTTTTTAGGTCTTCCTAGGAGAGAGCCTTACAGAGAGAAATTTACAAATAAATATAAAAAGAAATCTCACTCAATCTTCAGAGACCCTCCCATGAAATAAGCCTCTTTCCAAGGACATTTTTATGGTAACAGAGTTTTGTTCCCTTACACAGCTTTCCACCACATGCTAGCAGACCTTTCTGACATGTTCTTATTTTTTGCACCACTATGGTAACTTCCAGTGAGTCCAGCCTCTCCAGGCTTCAGTTTCTTTATCAGATGCTATTGAGTAAAAAAGCAGCCTTATTCTACTTGGTCTTCATGGGCTGTGATGTCACCACAGTGAACTCTGTAGGGATGCAGGCTGTTGATAACTGGTGCAGGGACTCCCCAAGTTGCTAGACAATCAAGATAAAGTGTCAAGCTGTTACAGGGAAACCCAAGAGGCTTCACCTCAGAGTCCTCATCCATGTGCTTAAGAACTCAGGACAAGACTCATCAGCAGACACACAGAGAAATGGGGGTCGGAAAGGGTTATTTACAAGGGGAGGTTAGGCGGATTAATTAGGCAACACATTCTTCCAAAAATGCAGTCTGAGCTGAGACCATGATGTGAGCCAAAGCCAGAAAGGCAAGAACATGCGCTTGCTCTGTCTTTTAAGGCCAATGTGACCATTCAATTCTGCCCCTCTTTTCCAGAGCTCCCCAGTCAGGAAGACAGGTTCATTGCAGGCTGGCAAGCCTCTGCACCTGAGGTCTGGTCGGGCATGGCGATGGGGGTGGAGTCTGTTCGGGACATCACTAGCTTGCAGTTTGTTGCCCACTGCTCCTCTAACAAAGAAAGCCGGCAGGGGCAAAACCTGTGCTGAGTTCAGAATTAACTGTTGCTATCCACCAACGCATTTCCAGAGCTCTCCTTTCCTATTCTCTCTTTCCTGCTCCTGGAAGAAGGACAGTGAGGACTTGTAACAGTGTGGTTTCCACAGAAAGGGGAGATTCAGGTTCCCTGCAACCCCAAGGAAGGGGTGGAGCTGAGCAGGGAGGAGAAGCTTGAGAAGAAGCAAAGTGAGAAGAAGAATCAAGAGAAAGGAGAAGCCCTAGAGGAGGCACATGATGCAGAGAAACATGTGAAGAAGCTGTGCTTGCTTCTCAGCCTTGGACTTGTACCAGAGAGCTGGGGGACATGGATGGAGACACTTGAAAGAGACAGAGATGTGGGTGAAGACACATGGCAGCCTTTATCTTGATTTTGATTTTGCTCCTTTCCTCTCCTACTTGCCTGGCTCCTTATGCCCCTTTACCAGAAGGTGTCTTAGATTTGTGGCAAGCTCTCAGGCCTCAGTGGCACTGCTTTGGGCCAAACTTGTTTGTCTGGGCATTTATCCAGGAAGGATGGGTAACTTTGGGTGTTTCATGGAGAAGCTATTTTTAACTACACATTCCTTCTCTTCTCTCTACCACACATTAAGCTCCTTGCTGGCCAAGGAGGCCGTGGAGGATGGACTCCCCGTGCATGATGGGAAAGGAGATGTGTGCAAATGCCCCTACTACACCGCTAAACAAGACAAAGGTAGGTCTTGCCTGTCCCACGCTCCCGCCTGGGGCCGGCTCGTCAGCCTCTCCCGCTGAGGCTGCGTCCCGTTGGTGCTGCCGTGCAGGTGCCCTGGAGGGCAGCGGATGCCCCTTTGGAATGGCCCTGGCTATGCTGAGCAAGTCCAGTCTCCAGTTTGTTCTGGCCACCAGTGTGGCCCTGGCCGCCGGCTTTCTGGCCTGGTACTACATGTGATGGACTCGCCGCCCCACACGGGCCCGCCCCACCTCCGCTGGACCGAGGGCCACCGCGTGGGACTTTCAGACGCGGGGTCTGACACAAGCAGCAACCAATAAAGCCAGACGCTAACGTCTCTGCCTGTCACTGCGGGCAGACGCTGAGCTGGGCGCAAGCCCGGCCTCTCTGCAGCACCCCCGCCTCCAGCCGTGACAATGGGGACAGCCTGCTGGCCTGAACCCCTGGCACCGGCTCTGCTCCTGGAGCACCCACGCCTCCACCCCCAGGCCCACTTGCTGCAATCGTGTGGTGTCGTGTCCGTCCCTTCCCCGGGCACGGAGCAGCCTGCGAGCTCAGGTTGTTGTGGCTCTGCGGGAGGGCGGGGCAGTGCACCTTGCTTCAGAGGCCCTGGGAACGCCGGCCCGGCAGCCAGAAGCCCCCAAGGATCTGTTCTGACCCGTGTAAACGCTACGGCGTTCAATAAAGAGGACTCTGGCGGCCGCCCACCTCCTTCCTGGCGTGGTGTCCCCTTCACGCTGCCCTGGCAGCCTCACCCATCCTCCTCGTGCCCCACGGGCCACGGTCTCCTTGCCGCAGCCCTGCCCTCCCAGCTCATCCGCCCTGTGGCTTCCTGACTCTCGGAAGGGCTTTGGCGCTTTCCCGCTTTGCACCCAGTAAGGATAAAAAGCACATACTCGCGTAACACTGCAAAGTCTAAGAGAGAAATGTGAACCCAAGTTGTTTTTATTAATAGGGCTCTGTTAGCTGTCCCGGATCCTGGCATCTGCCCGGTGGATCAGCTGCCGGGGTGGGGGCCGAGCCAGCTCAGAACCTGCGAGCCTAGGCTGCTGTTCCCCTTCCCTGTCACCTTCAGACCGGAAGCCTTGGGAGCGAGGGTGGCTCTGCCTCTCTCAGGGGAGCAAGGGTGCCCACCTGAACGCT